CAAAAAAGAATGTTTGTTGAATATAAATTTAACGAAAGTGTTTTTCATCAGTTTATTGAAGGTGTAATAAATATACGTCATTTTATTTCACTTTATTATCATTTTTATTTATTATTTTGTAAATAGCTTGGAATTTTAGTGTTGTTGCCTAACCTGTTACAACTTAAAGGTAGATCACCGAGCATATCAAATTAATATGTCTTTCAAATAACAGTAAACTAGAAATGGACCTATTAAGGAAATTTTCATTAACAGTGTTCATTTAGCTAATAATAAATTCACTTAATTATATACCTTATGAACACCCTGTAGTAATTTTGGAGATAGATGATTTTCATTTGAATTTCAATTTCTTCTCCCCCTGACTTCATCAAGTATTTTACATGGTAAAATTTTCGATATACAGCAACATTCCGATTTAGAAAAATATTTGGGTGTACTTACCTACGTGTTATGACGTGTGAATTTCGAAACCGAAAAAAAAAATTGATGCTCTCCCTTATTTCCAAAGTTACAGTTCGCCAAAGTTACGAAAATTTCAAATTTTCAGCCAATACGAACTATGGAAAAACAAATATTTTCACCTTCACATCTCATTTCACTTTCTCCAATACTTATTTATCAGTTTAATAATCAGATTTTTTCAAGAAAAACTTCATTAATTCCCAGAGCTGCTCTTTGGTGGTGAATTTTAGTTTTCAAGAATAACGTCATAATTGGCATCACTTATTACTATCAACGTTTCAAATTCAAATCAAGGGTTTCTGCCTTCATTGTTGACATTTTCAATTGTTTTCTGACGCTTTATTGGTGAAAAATGAATTCAAGAAATTAATGTTGAACAAACAGAAAATTCGCAACATTTCTGGTAGTTTTAGTAAAGTTAGAACTAATGATTTTGTAATATCATCTGAAGGAACAATTCGTCCAGGCCAGTCTAAACTCCCTACACTGTAAGTTAATGGACTGACACCTATCATAAAACAACTACCCCCCTGGCTAATACCACGAAGGGATTTATATTAT